CTAGAATAATCCGATTGGAAATCATTACTAAATAAGGTGCGATCGTCAATCGCCAAATATGGTAAAATCCCTGACTGTAAAGTCTTGAATTCATTTTTTTTTTACTTTTACTTATTAATTGCAAACAGAACTTGCTATACTTTTTTTTTTCAATAATGAGCTTCATATTGAGAATATATACATAAAAAACTATTTTTGTAATTTTTTAGAAGTTTTTGCACGATGATAATCCTTGATTGACCAATAGAATTACAAGGTCAGTATATTTACATGAATGCGAAATTAGCCTGCTTTTTTATTTTGCTAGGGTTTTTCTTAATAAAATAATAAATAAAATAAAATTAAAAAATTAATTTTTATACTATAGTGAACGTTAAGTCCATTAGTTGCCTGGTATTATAGTATCAGCGTAATTTTGTCTCAAATCAAGCACGTAATATAAATTAATCGATCGGATGTAATTTAGCATGCGAATAGTGACGTATTTTCGACTAGACCATTTTTTTTTCGAATATAGTAATTTGTTTTTTTCGTCCCTCAAACCCGACCCTTTGATAAGTATCATAGCATTAGTTAATTTTAGTCTGCTTTAGATAGTCGTAACGTTAAGCTAGAAAGTGGTCTGTCGAGAAAACAATCACAAAAGAATGTTTGCATTTATGTGCATTGAACTCTAGTAGGTATGATTAGCGTAGTGACCAAAGGGTAGTAATAAAAATACTAAGAATAGTTACGTAGAAGGAGGTTTTTCCAGATAGGATTGTCTGATTTTTTTCATCCCACACTTCAAGAGTGACTTATTGGGACAGTAACTATGATTAATGATCCAAAGTAGCCTAAAAAAAATCGTATATAGGTTGCACTTGATACTCAAAATCTGCGTATAACAGAATACCTTTCTCGATGAGACAAAATTGTGATAATTTATTTTATACAGTACCATGCCATATTTATTTGCAATTAAAAAACGTATGATTAATCGAGATTCGGGATCTTTGCAAACAAAATGACCCTTCGGGGACAGGTCATTTTGCTGGCAAACTTTAATTATATTTATGAGCCGTAAATATTTAAAAAAAATACCATATCGTTTGCTTTAATAAAAATTTATTAGTTATGAGCATATAACGTTGGCATAATAAATTAACATAAATGAAAGTGAAGGATTAACCGAAATTCATGGTAAGAGGACAAAAGTATAAGGTCTATTAAGTAATCTGCTAAGAACAGCATTAATTAAATATTTTGGCAATTGAGCTTTACCCGTTACAATGATGGGATAAGTTGGAACAGATGATTCTGCTATCTCTACTGCTGCATCTATCGCTCCGGGTGTATAGTTATTCATAGAAGGGGCCACTATAATACCTATGGTTCCATTCGGTTGTTGGGTTCTAATGAGCACCCCAAGTAATTCATCTACGATTGGGCGACCTGTGAATATAATAATTGGATTTTATAATAATTAATAATTGGAGCATGATTTAACATAAAAATACCTATATTAGTTGTGACCCAATTTTTGCATTGAATGACGAATCGAACCCTAGAAATTTCACATATAATGTCAATTCCCCCATCTCCTGGTCCACTAAAATTAAAAAAGTGTTGAGTACTTGTGTCATAATCGTCAACTAATCAAAGAAGTTGCACAGTCGGAATATTCTACGGCAGTGCTTTCTATGTTAGAGTGTATCTTATTCATCATGAATTCCCAGTTGCCTAAGCAAGCTCGGGAACACCGGAAACTAGAAAGGAAGAACGTTCACTGCTAAACAGTGGCCACGATGTGCTTTCAATTCCTTTACTAGATATTTACACCGATGTGACAGCGTAACTTTAGATACACAACAACTCGACAAATAATTCAGTGAGAAACTCACCCTCTATGAATAACATTACCAACTCTCCTTAACATCTCTACAATATCTACTTCAAATTTCAATCCTCTTATGCGGGTCGATTCACTAATTACTACAGCAACAACAACAGATTCGACATTGGACATTTTTACAATTTAAAAAATTTTATTACGTAGAAATTATTTTTATTAGAAATTTTTATTAAAAAAATAATCTTCATTTTTCATTTTCTCTGTAGAAAAGGCGTGTGACACCTTTATATTTAAAATCGTTGATAGTTACACAATTTATACAATTTATGCACTGTTACGTTTAAAATACCATGCATAAATAAATTGTGCAACAAAGCTAAAAAAACTGCGGCAGCGAAGCGATGGGCAACATATGAGAAAAATCGTTATTGAAAGAACATGCTGAAAAACCTGCTGGATTTAATGTTAAATAGAAAAATTGATCACTCGATATTAATATACACTTCCTTTTCGTAATGTAAAATGTATTTCACGATGATTTCACTATATGACCGAGAAAGTGAAAAACGAAACTACACGACTCACACAGGATAAAACGTCCGCCACGAAGATAATTTAGAATATCATTTAGCGAGGACGTGGGAATTTTATGATCTACTGTGATCTTAAGGAACATACTTTACAAACTTCATAGATGTACAGTACATTCATTCCTTAATATTAGAAACACAGTAAATCATAAGATCACCTCGCATTTAGTTTATTTAATTAAAAAAAAATCGAAAGTTGTTTATTTACAACGATACAATAAAAAAAAAAAAAAAATTATTTACAATCGATGATCGACGTAATCATGTGAACGAAAAGTCTATAATATCGAATCTACGAATAAATCATGATTTCTTCACGTTGGGCCATCATCACATTTGAGTATACTCATATTAATTCATTAAAATCTTGAAAGCTCACAACATCAATGCCTCTTGCACGCGCTTTAACTCGAAGGTTTCGATCATTTGTAAGCAATACAACGACCTCATTGTTATTGCTTTCCTTTTCCGATTTGTTATTAAAACTGTTTTCTCCGTGATTTTTAGCATGCCATAGACAGATGCCAAGAATAAGGTCATCCAAATTTTTCTTTTTATCCTCACCATCACCAAAATCAAATTCTTCACTAAAGTTAATTCCAGATACGTAATTGCCTTTACTTGTCTGAACTTTGAGTTTTTTCATCCTATTAGACGATGATAAAGCTTGTTCAAGATAATTAATCGCATCGGATGCTGCAGTACCAAGAGGGGGTGGATTGAGTTTTAATCCATCCAATTCTGTGATAACTATGAGGATATGAAAAAAAATGGAATGAAACTCAAGCATGCACCCATTATATAATACAGGATTAATTTCTGGAAAGATGGTCTCAATTTTAAAGAAAGGGGCAAATTTAATCATTAATAACTACCGTAAACTCACAAATATTTTAAAAAAAATTTGATAAAGTTTTGTAAAAGATTTACAAAAATTTACACAAGTTTGTATTCGAGAATTTACGGTAATTATTAAGAACTTACCAACTAAAGGTATGACCACCACCCAATTATTACTTTGGATAATTTTTTTGACCATATTGAGATCTCCAACAAGACAATTTGTATCGATTACAATAGTAGTATATCCAATACCAATTCTAGAAGGCAAAGCTGACACTTTTTTCATTGCATGAGGAGTATATTTCCTGGAATTCTTTGACGAAAATTTTTGTACTGAAGGACCTCGAAAACTCTCACGAGTTGTACCTAAAAGATTTTCTAATTCTTGCCTGCGAGACTGAATAAGAATAGACAAATTAATCAAAAAACAAGTTGATCGAAACAAAAAAAATATCAAGTATATAAACATAAAATACTTATAAATAAAATACTTTATAAATAAAATATTTTATAAATGAAATACTTTATAAAAAACATACTTTTAACTCCATAATTCCTTCATCCTCTGATTCAATGTGTTCACTAGTGTATTCGTTATCTACACATTTCGTTACAACAGGACTAGTTTCATCTTCTTCAGTTAATAATTTTGACGTTGAAGGACGTTCATTTTCCTTGTCAGAAATTTCATTAACTAACTCTAAAGAAGACGTAAAGGTGGCATCTTCAATATCAAAATCCAAACCAATGATTTTCTAAGAGACCGCACATAATATATATATATATAACAGTAAATATTATTTTCATCAATAAATAAAACAAGAATAAGGCGAAAAGGGTTAAATTACCTTGGTTAATAGATAACCCAATTCCATAATCCTTGCTCTACGACGAGTTTTAGCGTCTTGATCAGAATTAAAATCCAAATTATCATAAGAATTATTTGTAATAATCTCAATATCATCATCAACAAATTTTATATATGGCTTAGATACATTTTCAAACAAATATGGTTCATAAAGTGATTGAAGCCAAGAAATACCACGTAATTTCCAATCCTCAATTAATGGTGGAGGACGAATACGTTCTACATGATTTGAATCTTCAACATTGGAAGAAAATTCTATAATTTCTTTTATTGTAAATGGAGATACTTGATGAGCAATTTTTGTAAGAAATCGAGCCAAAGTTTCCCAGAATTTAGGACAAATAGATTTGTCCAAAAATTTTCCCCAAATACAGTTGTTAGATTTATCAGCCGAGTTATTAAAAGCATCATTAGCTACCATCCAAAGTAATACTATCTCACAATATAAAAGAAATCCTTCAGAAACATCGAATTCTCCTTGAAATGACATAGAATCAAGATATTTAGACATGAATTGGTACATGATACCAAAAGTGAGCCTAGATTCTTCGGCAAAAGTTGGATCTAAATCTAAAGTCTGCTTTAAATCCCCATCAGTTACCGTGGTTGACTTGAGAGACGAATTCTCGGTATTACCATAATTGTATAAACTTGATATATTAATGACCACCATTTGTAAACAAAATTCTAACCAATGAGTCCCACTTGTATTATCAGAAATTTGATTGCTTTTTAATTTGAATAATTTATCCATAAAAACATTTAAAGTTTGTTCAAAGAATTCAAGACCAACTTTGGTGAAAAGCATTCCATGTAATCTTACATATAAACTCTCAATTGAATTATTATTCAAATTATCACATCGCTTATTCGAAGATTGTAAATTTTCACGTTGAGAATAAGCACGACCTTTTTGCTTTTGTTTATTATTGTTCGTTGCGAGAGTTGCGAAGCGTTTACGATTTGTTTCGAATAACCAAATAAGTGGTTCGCGAGCGGCCATGTAAGGAGTATTAACCATGAGGCTTTAAAACAAAAGCATAGAAAAATTATAAAATAAATATTATAATATTATAGTAGGTAAATAAATTACGTTGATAAATGCATATACGTACCTTCTACAATAATAATACAGCATTTTAAATTCATCCTGACCCGCAAGAACAGCCAAATTATTATAAAGTTTTCCTAATATAATATATAGTTAATGGTTAGTTAAAGGTTAGTTAAAGGTTAGTTAAAGGTACGAGGAAAAAAAAAAAATTTATCATACCATTATTAGACTTGAGCAGAATTCCCAAAAGATACCATCGAGACGCATTTTCAGCCCAGAATTGTTTATTTTTTTCTTGATCTTCCAAGCAATAAGTCCAACGATATCTAGCAATGTCACCTAAATAACCTATGCAACGTATCCATCTTGGTGGTTTATTACTCTCCGAATTTTTTTTACTAAGTTTCGAATCTTCAGAAATCAACTTTAACAATTTTTTATAAAACCTTTCAGCTTCATCTAAAAAGATATTAAATTGATTTAAAGTAACAGAAGATGATGATGATGATGATGATGATTTATTTGAAGATTTATTTGAAGATTGATGACGTTCCAAAGAAATTGCTTGACGAAATTGTTCAATTAACGAATAAAAAGCAATTTTCCAACATTTCGTTTCAATGTCATGCTTTATGGCCGAAGAATAACTAAGATGAATATATTCATAATATTTTTTTGCCAATCTACAATTATAAAGAAGGATTTTTTTAAGTTTAAATTTAAAAAGTAATAATGTAACGGTTCAATTATGCATACCTTAAATGAGAGTTAATCTTAATTTGCCAATAATTTTCATTCTGAAAGAGCGAAGCAGTTTCATCAAGATTTTTAATATCGATAGAAAATTGTTTTGAATTTTCCGATAATTGTTTCTCCATTGTAACAATTTTTGCAAAAAGTAATTTTATGCTTTTCGCGGTTTCTACATTATTAGCAGTGTTGTTGGACTGAAAACTAGATCCCCACTGAACGTCCATATTTTTTTTCTCTGATGTAGCAGTGCAGTGATCACAATTAATAAGATATATAATACGTAATACTAATGCTAAAAGAAGTTTATTATACGTATAGTGATAGCGATAATGATATCGATAGGCACGTCTAGAATCTAGACAGGGAAAGAATATTTAAACAGAAATTGCATAATTAATCAACTTTTATGTTACAAATTGTATATATATAGAACTTCAAATAGGAATAAGCAGAGTTGTATATCGATACGTAACAGTGCTTAACGCCAAGAACAAAAAGTTATACGTATCTATCCAATGACACTTATCTATTAAGATCCATTGGTTTTTCTCAATGAATAACTGAATAACTGATAAAGTAACGTTAAATTTTTAGCCAATCAACAATGATATTCTTTTTTACAGTGATCTGTGATTAATATCTGATATTAATGTCCCAAAATTTATCAACGTAGAAAATTATCGGCCTGAAAGACCTGGAACAAGCCGCTTGTTTCGAGTCGACTCTAGAACTTCGGTTCGATTTTATTACACTGTGCGATATAAAAAAAAAAAAACTAGAATATTCGAATTTAAAATGATCGACATCACATGGGCGGACAATGGAACGACATTGCATTTAGCTTTACTTAATTGTTAAGCTTGTATGCTAAGTGTCCTCCGCTACTCCGGACGATAATAAAATTAGTATCTTACGCGCTAGCATTTATCGTTATTTAAGCATAAGATTGCGTAACACATGCATAGATTCAGATATAGTTAAATTAATCGTACAAACATAGCACATTGATTCAGATTCTAATTTCAATAAGACTACGTTCTAGCACAGTAACTTAATAATTTTTCACCCAAATTATTATTAGTTTTATTATAATTAACATTGTACTATTAGCATTAAAATATATTTATCATGTCAAAAGAAGAGCAATCTACTGGAACTTATGAAAGACCAGATTTTAGTGATGCAGCGAAATTTGGTTTACATAGTATTGCAGATATTGTTGGATCATATATTCCGATAGTTAGTGAAGTAGTAAATATAGTTAAAAAAATTGATGAAGCATTTAAAAAAGCTCAAAGAAATAAAAATATTTGTTTAATTTTATTGAAAAGAGCTAAAGATGCAGAAACTGTAATGAATAAAATATTAAATTATATCTTTTCATAAATTTAAAATTTTATTGATAAGAATTAAAGAATTTGTAGCAGAAGTTTCTGAACTTAAAAGTGCTAGAATGTTTTTTGATGCAAATAATGTTAAAATTATGTATGATAGATTGACTGATGAATTTGAAACATGTATGAAGGAGTTACATTTCAAGATAATGATTGTTAATGAAGAACAAAGAAAGAAAGATAATAAAAAAATTGATGATAATTTAAAGAAAATGAATAAAGTTTGTATCAACTTTATTAACTTATTAACTTTCAATAATTTACATTATTATAACAAATTTCTTTATTATAAAATATAATAGTATTTTGAAATAATGAATGAAAAAATTGATGTAAGCAATCAAGACATTCAATACATAAAAAAATTGATGACTAAAAATCTTGAAGATGAAATACATGCCCCGCATATTGATCCATCAGAATTATCAGAACAATCTCATGAACGTCATGGTAAAAATCTTAAAATAGTAAAAAAGTTTTACAAACAAACATGTGAAGTCGCTTGTAAACCAATTAAAGATTTTGAGAAATTTTAAACTGAATTAATGATTCTTGGAAAATTAAATAATTTTCCAAACATTCTTATTTTTTATGGTCTTTCAAAAATCGATAGTCATGATGTTATGATTTTAGAATGGGCAACTTATAGAACTTTAAGGAAGTTATATGACAAACATGATATTACTTGGCGTAGAAAAGTACAAATTATACTTGACATTTGTCGCGGCCTCATATTTTTACATAAAGTGAACATTGTTCATCAAGACGTTAGATGCGATAATGTTCTAGTAAGTAAAATAGTTGAAATTATAAATAAATTTTAAAATCAATTCAAATATATTAAACAATTTCTCTTAGATAAATAGAGACTTGGTTTCAAAAATTACTAACTTTAGATTCGCTCGTATGATAACCGCAAATATTACTATGGATCTTTCTGAACAATTGAATAATGTTGTTTGTTGGATAGCTCCTGAACAAATTGAGAGATACCAAAATAATGATAAAAAGACTGGCTATACTATTCAAGCCGAGATTTTTAGGTATGTATAATACATAGTTATTGCAGCCAATAACAAGAATTATTTGTAAAATAATTCATTATCTGGTTGTGAAATTTGATATATCAGCTTCTGGGCCTCAAAATGACACATATTAAATTCGCTGCCAATTTATCAAAATAATTTCATATTAAAAAAATTAATATCTATTATTATTTTTTTCCTGTGTATATTTATAGTTTTTGGATGCTTATTTGGGAACTTTGCTATGAAACAAAACCTTACAGAAACAAGAATTTTATAGAAATATCAAATCATGTGCTAAAAGGCAAAAGAGAAACTCTTAAATGTGGGAAGCTTCTTGATCAAGAAATTCAACTTGAATTTAATAAAATTATTGTTCATGGTAAAGTTTTTTTTTCTAATTTATATAATTTATATATAATATATAAGGTAAAAGAAGTATTATAACACAGTTAAAAAAGAAATTTTGTCATAGCTCGTAACTTATTGGTCCAAATCAAATTATTTATATACCATTCTATTTGTCTCATCAAGACGAATCGAATGGTGCCAAAGCCATTCGATTCTAATCACAAGATCGTGAGATTTTAACACTCAAATGCTATGCAAAGAGTAGATACCAATTATAATGCACTTGTGTTATCTTAAGATCCAACAATCAGAATCGATCGATTTTCGATTTGTCTCATCAAGATAAATTGAATGGTAGTAAAATCATTTAATTCCGATTACTGGATCTCAAGATATTGCAAGTGCAGCATAATTGGTTAATACCCTTTTTTACTTTATGTATATATTTTCTCTCTTTTTTTTTAAGAAAAATGCTTATTTCATTAATTTTTAAAATTCAGCTTGGCAACAAGACCCATATAATCGAATACGTTTTGATGAATTATTTTTAAAGTTAAATGATTTATCAGAAAAATATCCTATCCCACCTGGTAATCGAGAACTTTTGAATGACAAAACTTTGGATTTGGATGGATCTAGAGAATCAGAAAATAAAAAATTAATGCCTCCAGATCCTGATAAACTTTTAATCGATTTAGATACACCAATAAAATCTATTGTTTCACTTGAAGAAGGTGTTAAACTTCATCAAGAAAAAGATTATGAAAATGCTTGGAAATATTTTTCTGTAAATGCTGAAGTTGGTGATTATCGAGCAAAATATTGGCAAGGTTATTATTATGAGCAAGGTTATTTTGTTAAAGAGGATAAAACTCATACAAATCAACTTTATAAAGAAGCTGCTGATTATGGTGTTGCTGATGCTCAATATCGGTATGCTTGTTCTTTATATAAAAAAGAAAATCTTGATCATAGTGTTATAGAACGAATTAATTATTAGTTATTATTTTATTATTTATTATTTAATTATTATCTTAGATTATTATTATTATTATCTTGTATT